GTGTGGTCATGATACATCATCTCCTGCTTGCCGGGACAAACCAGGTGGGGCCCAGGACAGAGAACACAGAAGAAAGGAAACACAGAACCCTGCCCATCAGACGCTGTAGTTTCTAGGGCGTCCAAACACACACAGACATCTGCCTGAACACAAAATAACAGATAAACTCTTAGTAAATACTGACATCACTCCCACTGTGCTAGAGCCCTTTTCAGAAAGCGAGGTCTCATGAGAGTTAGCCATGTTGCAATCTAAAGACTATCTTGGCCACTTTAGCCAGGCATAGAACATGTTTAAGCCGCCAATTGTTCAGCTTTGGGTTTAGATTATTAGTTAACAATTTTCTTGCAGTGAGAGAAACACTTAATTTACCAAATCGGGCTTTTCGTTTTTTTTCAAATTGGGCTTTTCTGATTCTAGCAAGCATGTTTCTTTTACTGTTCTGAAAATGTGTCACCATCATTATGTACCCAGAAAAAAACAATCGAGTGGTGGATACAATAGAATTTGACGATTGAAGACAAACCTAGTAAGGTGGTGATGGATTGCAATCTAACTTTGCCTTTTGCCAATTAACTTGATTGCTTATTGATCAGCTGGGTGGCTGGTCTTTGCTCTGGAAGCTGTTGTGGCTGTGACAAACACTTTGATTAGTGGGGCACATTTAATTAAGGTTTTACCTTGGAGGCATCCTTTTTCCCTCTGTCTCCATGGCTCCCATCAGGTTGGGCACCTTCAAGATGCCCATTCTTTTAGCTTTATTGGACCACCATAGTTGTGATGGCTGTGTCAAGGTTCCAGGTGACTCCGGTTAAGGCATCAGTGCCCACTGCTGTCTTGAGTCACTGTCCTTTTAGCAAGAACCGTCTTACCCTCCTATCGATTGCTTCTCGTTACTCAGGTAAAACTCTGTTCTCCTTTACTCCCTCTGGAATCAAACTTCTCCTCCATGTGTGCTGTCCAAGAACAGAAATGGTACAGTCTACATCCAAATAAAATGATGTTCTCCATCATGTTTAGATCTTCTTCCCCTAAATTCTAGGGAAGAGGAAAAGTTAGAAAAGGTGATGGTAGGGGTGACTAACAGTCTTCAAACTCCTGATTCCTTCTGGCTGGTCTTCCTCCACAGCACTGGCTGCATTTCCTCTCCTGGAAAATCAAGTTAGGAGAGGTTGGCCCCAGTTTCTGCTTGCCTCAAGACAGAAAGCTGGTCAGTAGAACTAGATTAGGATCCAGCTTTGTTAGAGTCCCTTCCTCTGGCAAAGATCCCATTAATTCCACCCACCACCACCATCACCACCACCACCACCATCATCAACATCATCACCACCAGAACCACTATCACCACCACCAGAACCATCATCACCACCACCATCACCAGCACCACCAGCACCACCGCCGCCCTGACCACTGCGCCCCCTCATCACTGCCATCCATCACCCAGAATGTCCTTTTTCTCTGCCTTGCTTTCACAATCTCCCTCTGCCTAGACATCCCACTTGAGCCTTCAGCTTCTCAAGCATTACATTCCTAAAGAGTCTGAATTTAGCCCCAAGGCCTGACCCCTAGATTGGCTAAAGTGTCCCTTCTATGTGTCCCCTTCATAGCCTGCTTTCCTAACAGCTCATGTTTTACTAACATCTTTATTATGATGTATCAGATGTAGAGGAAAGTGTGTGGTGGTGTGCTCCTATAATTCTAGCACTTGGGAGGCTGAGACAGAAAAATTACCATGAGTTCAAAGTTCAAGGCAAGCCCAGGTTACATAGTGAATATATATATGTGTGTGTGTGTGTGTGTGTGTGTGTGTGTGTGTGTGTGTGTGTGTATGTATAAAACACTGCTATGAATATTATTGAGAATTTTTATGTTTTTCTCTCTTTTCTCTCTGAAACCAGTGGGCTACCAGTTACATACTCATCTTGTTCATACTGCTGAACGTGTTTCTAAGATGGTAGCCTAGTTTATCTCCACAGTGAGTGCAAGTGGTTCTGCCCCTGTATTTCACCGGCCATCAGTAGAATAGTATCTACAGAACTTCTCTATACTCTCCATCTCTTTGGCCAGTATGATACAAGATGACACCTTTGCTGGGTTAATTAACTTGGTGAGCTCTCATGGAAATAGCCAACAAGAATGTACCTGTTTGTTTTAGACCTCAGGCAGCATGGACGGCTTTGTGAACAAAGTGCCATGATTTGACTTTGGCTCAGAACTGACTGCCTAGCAGATTACTTTCCTACGCAGTAGCTTGACCTTTGCTGTCTCTGTATTATTATGAAAGATGAATAAATCAAACATAAAGCTTGCATGGAATCAGAGCTCAATAGGACTAGCCTATGAACAGTACTGTGTCAGCCAGCAAGCCCGCATCCCAGGAAAATTTCCAGAACTTCTGTTGGTTAATAAGACTCTTAGGGATTCCCCTGTCCCAGAGCTCACAGAGCCTCAGGACTTCCAAAGTCCCCCTGATTCCATATTCATCACCTCCCATATGGTTATGGGCAAGGATCATGTTGTGTCTCCTCAAGGACATGGCACATCATTCAAGAAAAATGGCTTACTCTTCATGGCAGCAGAAGATTAACTCACTTGAAGGGGACCAGCTGAATAAATTGCCCCAAATCCATAGCTGAACAGACACATAGCTTGGGAGCTGTGAAGATATGAACTGTTCCCTTTCTCTCTTTCCTGCCCTCCTTCCTTCTCTTCTTTTTTTCCCTTCTCTTCCTTCCTTCTTTCTCTTCCCTTCCTTTCTTTCCTTTCCTTACTTCCTCTCCCTCCACTCTCCATTCTCCTTTGAGCCATGCAATCTCTCTCTCTATAGTCCACACTCCATTCGGCTGCCTCCCAAGTGTGAGGGTGAGGAGCATGTATGTTCTGCCACACCTGAGCCAGTTGTGCCCTTTCCTACCTCAGTGGCTGAGCCTCTGGGAACACGTTGGCAGGGACATGCCCCACTCCTACAGATAAGCGATACCTTGGTACATGTGGTATTTGGCATCAGAATACTTAGCAAATATTTGCAGTTTGTCTATGGATCTCTTGTTCCTTCTTGACTGCTCTGTTCCTGCCTTGTTCCCTTCCTATACAACTATGCTGATACAATCTCTCATTTGTTTGATGGCACTTGGTCCCATTTCTGGCATCTTTCAGTTCTGGGTAAATTCGTATCTGTGTGAAGTGATTGACTATACCCCAATAAACCAGACTTCCAACTAAAGAAAAAGAAATAAAACAAAATAACCAAAGAAACAGGCAAACAAAAGCCTTCAAGTCAGGCATGGTGGTACAATAATTCTATAATTCTAGTACTAGCTAGGTAAAGGCAGAAGGATCAGGAGTTCAAGGTCATCAATAAATGCATGGCATGTTTGAGGCCAGCTTGAACTATATGAGATCTCATCTTTCAAAAAGCAAAAGAGGCCAGGATTAGTGGAGCAGGTCTTTAATTCCAGCACTCAGAGACATGTATCTCTTGAGTTTGAGGCCAGCTGGGCCTATGTAAAAAGTTCCAGAACAGCCAGGGATATGTAGATTTTATCTCAACCAAACAAAAAATATCAAGCAGACATCAAAAACAAAATTAAAAACCCAAGCAAAAGATACTTTTTAATTCATAACTGGGTCTTCTGGGAAACCAGTGAGATCATAGACCTTGGCCTCTGAGGACAGTATAAACATTTTTGTTCAAGGAATGGTTTGTAACTGCTGTTGCCAATGAGAATGTGGGGGAAGGAGTGAGCTCTCTACCTAAAGCTGGCAACAAGCTTTCCCTGGAAAACAGTCTGGGATTCTTCTAGTTGTTTGGGTTTGGTAGGGAATTTAATATGCAGCTAATGCCTAGTACAAGTACATCATGCAATCTGTGACCACTGGGAGCTGGCAGGCTTCTCACTTAATGCCACTCCTTCAGTGCATTCCACGAAACAGGATGGATGCAGGAAGGCAAACGTTTGCCTGACTCTAGAAGCCTTGGAGGTCAGGGAGCCCAGGGAGCAGGCAGGGGCTAAGTGGAGGCCTTCAATGAGGTAGAAGAGGAAAAGGTCACAGCTTCTCCTTGGGGGAACTGTATACAAATGAGGGGCAGTAGCAGATGAAAAGGTGCAGGTGAAAGCAGGATCCACCGGGCATTCCTGAAGTGTTAGGTATTTGTGTGACAGGCCCAGAGGACTGGGCTTGAAAGGATTCCCTAACAGTTTTAATTCCCAGCAGGACAGATCTTGGAGGAGGGCTCTGCAGAATAGACTCACAACCTGGCCCTCTCAAGCTAGCTCCCACTGATTTAGGCAGGAACTGGTTGCTTTCTCCTGAGCCTGTTCTGGGATAGCTTGTTGGGAACATGGGCACTTATGACATGAATGTGCCCTCTTTGGTGGCACCCTATACTATCGCCCAGATTACCTTTCTGCAGATAGCGTTCAGAGCCCGCACGAGGGCAATAACCTGAATCATGTCTCCAGCATTCAGGGCAGAGCCACACCCCAAGGATTCATATTTGCTAAAAGAATTACCTGTCACTTGATAAGCCAAAGGTGAGGACAAGCAATCCATAGGACCTCACGAGACAATCAACACAGGGAACACGACTGATATGCAATGCTACTTTATTGCATTGTTTGGATTGACTGGCAGTACAAATACTTGGGGAGAGTTAGGACACTTTGTCAGTGCTGAAGATCCAACCCAGGCTGCCTTCATGCTAGCAAAAGTCCTCCACTGAGAGTTACAGCCTCAAGTAAGCTGCAATCTGCGTCAGTGGACCCTGAAGACCTAACCCTCCCCGAGTAAAGAAGCCACTGAGCAAACTGAGCCTGTCTTACTCTTTCATCCAGACTGTCCCCAATCCGTAATCCTCCTGCCTCAGTCTCCCAAGTGATGGAAATGGGAAGTGTGTACTACTGTACTGCACTTACCAAAAGTATGTTCAAATTGACCCACTATCCTCCCCCATCCTAAACCCAGTCTATCAATATATACAAAGTTAATACATGACACAATTTATGCAAATAGTTTTCAAGATTTTATTGCAAACCAAAATTGGTTTTATCACACACAAAAAAAGTTGTGTGGTAAGGGGGGATTATACACATTATAACCATGTTAATTACAGTACATTAAAATGATGGTTTACAAATAAGTCTGTAAGTTTAAATATCTAGTGTTATAACCCAATGTACAGACTTAACCTTTACAAGATACATACAATAATCAGGAATGCAAAAGAAAATGAACACGGGGGAAAACATAAATAATGCCCATCTTACAGCTGACATTTTAAACAATGAAAACACCAACGGTTGACTGACAACTGGGGCATTGGTCCATAAAAACCCTTTCTAAAAATAGAAATATTTGTAGCAGCAATGCTTTCCTTAAGCATCTGGATGCTTGTCATTGCAAGACCGTTTCAATAGGTTTTAGTTATTAACTATATCTTACAAAAAACAGTCTACACATAAATTTATCTTCCAAATGTGGAAGAAACAAACAATGTCCCACATTGTAGTGTCCTGCAAGTGTCACATTGATGCTTACAACAAAACCATCTGTGATCAGGCATAGCACACTCACACTACTGCAAACACGGGAAATCCGCAAGGGAAAAACAAAACAAAAACAAACAAACAAAAACTGAACACTCTGTGATAGGATAAGCTTTGGAGCTAACACGATCTTAGAAAAGGCACATTGCAGAATATTCTTGATCACAGCCCAGACTTGCGGGGGATTCCTCTTAAACCTGCATCTTCCTCCTAACTGAGACCAAGGTGTCTGTCTCAGGCGGCACTCTCACGCTCTTTAGAGCTAGCACCACGTTGGAAGGAAGAAAAGAAATGAAGACCTCACAAGCTCACTGAGGAGGATGTGCTATTCGGAAAGCTTCCGGCTCCCTCAAGCAGCGTGTGCCGGGTGGGCGGGGCTGCCAAGCTTCCAGGTGTGCAAATTCTCTTTTAAGATATTCTGTCAGCTGGCAACTCCACCAAAGGCTAACTTTAGAGGAAATCCTTCAGAACCATCCTGGGAGGGTTCAGAGGAAGGAGTCCATGGGAGGTGCGTAAGAGAAGCCAAGGAAGGCTTCTGCAGCTTCCTTCACACTGGCCGTGACAAGGATGCTGTCAGGGGACCTGCCGATGGAGCTGGGGACAGGCTCCTCAGTAAACTCGGGATCGAAGTGCCGAAGGTCACTGGGCCCGCTCTGTAAGAAGGGGAAATACACTCAGCATCAAAAAGGGCACAGGGCAAAGGACAGGGAATCCTTAAGTCCTATAATCCTCCACTATAAGCTTAACTCTAAGGGCTCCAAAGTTTAGGAGGATATCTTTGATTACAAGGTCTCACTATGTAGCCTAGGCTGGCCTCAAACTCAGTCCTGCTTCAGACCTGAAGCACAGGTATTACAGGTATCTGTCACTAGGCCTGGAAATTATAAATAAATACACTCATATTCAGTAAACTTAGCTGGGATATAAAAAAAACAAACAAAATAAAATAACTCTTCTCTGGGATAATGAGTCTATGGATAGAGAATATCTGCTATTTATTCCTTCAAATTCTGACAGAAAAGAAATCTTCTGCGTCTCACTATTCTTATAACCAGAAAAAAAGATACTTACCACATTTGGGTTAAATGGTGGTGTAATCTTCTTATTAATGAGATCATCCCAGTTAATTAAAGAGAAGAAAATATGACTCTTAATTTCCATCTGTTGGAAAGAAACAGATTCATTTAGATGAAGAGAACTCAATATAAGGTCACAAAGTCAAGGTTCTTCCCCGAGGTCCCAGGACAGCAAGATAATACTCACAAAGTCATCCTTGGCACCCAGCCTCTTGGTCCGGTCCTTCTGCAGGAGGTTCTCCAGGAGGTGCCTTGCCGAGTTTGTAATATTTGGTTTCAACTGGAGAGGCTTGTTCAGAATATTGTCATACATCTCAGCTGTGTTCCGGCTATAGAACGGAGGCTGGAAAAGGAAGGGAATTTCTTCAGATTCTACTGAAGTTTTATCTAGTACATAGATATAAAGTGCTGAGCTTAGTGTATCGAACTGGACTTGAGCTGATCACTTCCCTGGTTGTCTATTTTACAACCCCTACTGGAGTGTGTGTGTGTGAGATGGGACTAATACTGGACACATTAAGTAAACTGTGGTAAACTGTGCAGAAGAAACCCACTGGAGGGTTGGGGATGCTGCTCAATACAATTTTCAGTATCCGCCCTCCCTAAGATTCAAACATGACTATTGAAGAAAAAGTCCAGAAGACATTATTTATAAAATTATAAAATATAAAATAACCAGTGTCTCCTTTAGATACAGACAAGCCATGGCAGCTAGATCTGCATGAGTCCACAAATGTCTTATCAAGTGCCACGGGTGTGACTCTTACTCACCAGGCCATAGAGCATCTCATACAAGACAGCCCCGAGGCACCACCAGTCCACTGTCCTGTCGTACGGCTGCTTATGGAGAACCTCAGGAGCGAGATACTGAAATGACACACACCAGAAAGGTTAACTCTCAGAACCAGGCAGTCCTCACAGCAAGCATGTGCTTTGAAAAGACCAGAACCAGAGTCAACTGTCAACTTGTGTGTGTGTGTGTGTGTGTGTGTGTGTGTGTGTGTGTGTATGTGTTCAGACTGCTTCTTAGTTAAAACCTCTGTACTTTGTGAGGTCAACCGGTCCTGTGTGTATATTTAGGGAACTTGGCACCTAGTGGTACCATGAGGAACTCTTAGAACATATACACCTTGGTGGGATAAAAACTAGCAGAAGGCCTTGGGAATCCTCAAATAACAAATGGCATCTGACTTGCACTGAGCTGTACTAGAGAACTGCTTAAGTATTTACTCCTCTTTTTGTATTTAAAAGCATTACTGCAAGTGTGTCTCTTGGAAAGGGGTGGGTAGATCAGGCGCTGAGTCAGACTGCCTACCTCAGGCGTGCCACAGAAGGTGGACGTTGTCCCATTGTGCTCAATATTCTCCTTGCAGAGCCCAAAGTCAGTGAGGACGATGTGTCCCTGTGAGTCTAGGAGAATATTCTCTGGTTTTAAGTCTCTGTGGGGAAAATGAAAAAAAAAGTGGTTACACAGGTTAATCTGACTTCATGACAAATCCTCTCTGTAAAGATTGCTTGGGGTATTAAGATTGTTAATCCACTCCTGTTCCATAGCCAATCACAGAAAGGAGTCTTTGTTGGGCTGTTCTGGATTATGCACCACCCTCTTGGTACTGGAAGTCAAGACAACTCACATGCTAGGGGAAACTTTAGAAGTGACCAAGCACACATAATACCTCATTATTTTAGGACTCCAAAGGCCTGGCCTCCCTCTTTCCCAGCATGATAGCTCTGAATCTTTGGCTCACCTATAAACGATGTTTAGGGAGTGCAGATAACCTAAGGCACTGGCTATTTCAGCTGCGTAGAAGCGAGCCCGTGGTTCCAGGAAGCAGCGCTCCCTCTGGAGATGGTAGAACAGCTGCAAGAGACAGAAAAACTGAGGCTGAGTGGGGTCCTTTAATCAGGCCTGATACAGACACATAATCCCGAGGGGAAAGCTTGCAGGAATGGCCTGAAATAGTAACTTCTTAACTCTAAGTGTTAAGTTCATAGAAATGCTAATTCTGGTAATTTCTTCCTCAACTATCTTAAAAGCTCACTCAAACCCAAACCAAGCAAGACAAATAGGAGCAGCCCCACCCCTACCAAAGTGTGTATCTCAGCTCACCTCTCCACCATTAATGTAGTCTAGGACAAAGTAGAGCTTGTCAGCAGTCTGGAAAGAGAAGTGAAGGCCCACCAGGAAAGGGTGCTTCACATTCTTCAATAGAACATTCCGCTCGGACATAATATGCTTCTCCTAGGAAAGAGATGACATTCAGTGGCAGTCAGATTTCAACAGGGCAGCAAACCACAGGGTAAAAATTCTTCACCAGGCCTGCGAGTCCAGGCCACTAGGTGTCGCCCTTACCTCCTTCTTCTTTAGGATGGCTTTCTTCTGTAAAACTTTGACGGCATAGAATACTTCTTCTGCCTTGTGCCTTGCCAGAAGAACCTGAAATATTAACCAGACAGTCATTTTTCTGTTCTCACCCAGGGAGAATATAAAAGTGAATGCACTGAAAGAGCCTAGCTGCAAAGCTTTCAGGGTTGAACTTACCTTTCCAAAACTGCCCTTTCCAATCACTTTCAAGAAGTGAAAGTCAGAGGGTTTGGCGTGGGGATTGGAGGACGGACCCAGGTTGATTTGCTGAGAGGGACTTGGCTGGAAAACAAAACATCATCCTTTAAGACATAAGCTACATACAGTCTTACTGTTAACACATAAAGTACTTTATGAAATGTCTTTCAAAACATCCCAGTGATTCAGTACTTAAACACTTAAGCCACTTGTGATGTTGTGAATAGACAAGGCTGCCTTGATAGTTTTTACAAATACTGCCTTCACTTACTACTACAGAAAAATACGGATACATTTACAAATTCCTCCACAGACAAGATGTACTTACCGGAGGAGAGTGGTTGGCATTCATAAGCTCGGGCTCCGGAGGTTGGGACATTTTCAAAATGGACTGAACTTCAGCGCTGTGGAGATTAAAGGGCCGTTTTACTAACTCTGAATTCGCCACCAGAGGGCATACAGACATAAGTTCTAATTCTGACTCAACCGGTATTTAAACCGAAAACATCCGAATGAATTACTTACAAAAAATGGTAAGGAAAACAACCCAGTTAAATACAAATTAAGGTTTGTTTATTGAAGGATCGTGGATTTCGGTAAACATTCATGAGAATTAATGTCAAACCTCCGAGGCAACTCGATCCATAAATTAAAAATGTTTAAGCAAAATGCTCAAGACCAGAAGAGATCTATCTACCCCGGAGGAAAGACTTCAGCACTCCCCTACCCCTCATGAACAAGTAGTAATAGTCTTAGCCGCTAGTAAATTAAAATGATTCTTTTCTATTTTTGCCAATAACCCAAAACTTACTGTTTGCATGCATAAGTGTTGCTGGCAATCTTCTGAATAAAATCGTTCAGGCCCATCCTTCTCTGTTTCATGAAAGCTATAATTTAAAGAGAGAAAGAAGAAGGGGTGGTTAGGTGGCTCTGTAATGTCCAACGCCATAAGCTAATCTGATCCTAAACCTTCAAAACAACAACAAAAAAACACCCGGATCATTTCCACGCCGTCTCTCCTACGCAAGTCCGGTGCTTTTCCAGAACTCACCGATGAGAATCGCTACCATTCCCCTCATTCTGGAGTAAGTGAGGGTGCTTCGAGCAGCCTCAGTTTTGACGGTCATCGCCCCGATGCCCAGAGAGTGCCCAAAGAGACTGAGAGGAGCAGGGAGACCGACTCAGCCAACAGTGCGCTCCGGCCGCGCGACTCGCCTTATGAGCCCTGCGCTGCGAGGGGGCGGGGCCAGCGGAACCAGGAAGCGGCTCGGGCCCCGCCCACACCAAGGCCCCACCCAGCCCCAGCAGCCTAGCAAGCTGCTGGCGGAGTTGCGGGAAGTTGGGCGACTGGCTGCCGGGTCCTGGGTGAGCGGTGCGAGCCGCCCCGGGCACAACCGAGGCTTCCGCAGGCTGCACGAGCAGGACCCCGCGCCGGGCTGCACTCGGCCTCCGTCCGCCTGGGCCGGAGGAGGGCACTGGAGGGGTAGAGAGCCCCGGTTATTTTCCATTTCCTCTCCCGTGCTGCCCGAGTGGGCACTGCTTTCAGTGCACGGTCATCGCAGAGGACCTCTCCCCTCCTCGGTGTCCCGACCCCGGCCCGGCGTGCAGCCTCCAGGTTCCTGCGCCTTACCCCGCCCTGACCTCCACACACCCCAAGTCCGGTGAGCCAGGCGGCGGCACTTACCCAGTCCGCTCAGCAAGACAGACTCGCTCCTTTTCTGTGCCTCCGCCCGCTTTTTGTGGCGGGGCCGGAGCAGGGACTCGAGCCGAGCCCGAGCCAGCGCGCCCTGCATCTCGCCCATGGCTGCGGACCGAGGGGCGCGCAGCGGACGACGGCGACCGGCGAGCACTGACGTTTCCTTGAAGGAGCCGCCGTGACTCAGGCGGGCAAGATTTCCTGCCCCAGTCCCAAAATAAACAAATGGCCCTTGTGCACGGCCGAGTCGCTTCCGAAAACGCCTTTTTTGTGGTTTTGGCCAAAACCAAGCAAGGCTGAAAAATCCCAGAACTTGGAAGAGGAGGAAGGAAGGCAAGGGGGTGGGGGTCAGGAATGTGTGGGGGGGGGGGCGGAAATAAGTCTCTGCGCTACAAGAAAAAAAAGTACAATCTTCATTTCACTTTTTTTTTCCAACTAATCTCCGAGAACATTCTGTCCTTTCCGCATAAATTTTGAGCCTTGCAAATTTTAATCCTAGCCATGCCAAGAACACGTGAGGAGGTGGCAAGTTAGAGGGAGCAGGGGCTTCTCTGCCGGACCGACCTGGAGTGACCCTTGCGCTGTTAATACCCTTGCCCGGGGGTGCCTGCCCCTCTTTCACAAGAAAACTGCAAGATTGCATTGCACTGTGTTTAACCCGGTCCGTTTTTCCTCATCTTCACTACCCTCCTTTGGGGTACCTGATGGCTGACCCAGGTAGTCTTAATTATTATATCGCGTTGCTTTTTTTCTTTTTCTCTTTCTTTCTTTCTTTCTTTCTTTCTTTCTTTCTTTCTTTCTTTCTTTCTTTCT